ACCAGAGGATGTACACTGGTACAGATAGGAACTTGAAACACAGGGAATCCAGAGCAGAAGATCCCTTCAGGACCAGTAGTGAGAGTGGTGATACTGGGAGGGTGGAGGGAGGGTGAGGTGAAAAGGGGGAACGGATTATAAGGATCTACATATAACCTCCCGGAGGGATGGACAACAGAAAAGTGGGGGAAGGGAGAAGTCGGGCAGTGCAAGATATGACAAAATAATAATCTATACATTATCAAGGGTTCATGAGGGAGTGGGGAGCGGGGAGGGAGGGGAAAAGATGAGGAGCTGATGCCGGGGGCTTGGGTGGAGAGCGGATATTTTAAGAATGATGAGGGCAATGGATGTGCTTGACACAATTGATGTGTGGATGGATTGTGATAAGAGTTGTATGAGCCCCTAATAAAACGACTTAAAAAAAAGATTCTCTGTCTTTATCTCTCCCTTCTATCAAGCTGATTCTGATTATTAGCAGCCCTAAAGACAGGGCAGGACTGTAACTCTTTGTGGGAGTAGAAAGCCCCTCCTTCTCCTGCCGTCAAGACCACAGTCTCGGAAACCCCATGGAGCAATCCCACTGTCAGAATCAACTCAAGGGTGCTGCGAAGGGTGCTTACTGGTACATGTTGAAGCATCTCCTTATTGCTATATTTCTAACCTGTACGCTTTTCTAAAAGTAGATCAACCGATCAAATTTGAGCGGAGATGATGAAGATTCATGAGAAAGCCATCACTCTGCCCCTAAGGTTTTCAGTGGATGCTTTCTCAGCAGTCAACCAGCAGGCCTTTCTGCCAAGGCATCTCTGAGTAGACTTGACTCTCTAACCTCTCGGTTCTCAGCCAAGTACATCAGCCCCGCGACCCAGTCCAGGGACTCCTAGGTGGTCTTCCATCGTTTATAAAGCACATTTTCAATCGTAAGGAGAGCAATTCTCTCCCATTGTATGGATGAGCAACTTGAGAGTTGGAAAGCACCCAGATAGCATCACCGTTTGATTCATAGAGCTTGATTTTCCGTAATACCATGAACCAACCCAGCCCCATCCATACATGTCATGTGGCTCTTCTAACATGCCATTGAAACCCCTGGGGATCTCGTGAGTGTGGTAGGAGTTTCCTATCCCTCGGAAAGCACAGTTGCTGAACTGACTGAGCAGACTTCCTGTGTGCCATGCTCCCGTGTGCTGTTGGCTGTACTCAGCTCGCTACTGTTAACATGAGAAGTCACTGACGTTGCCCAATGTAGCCACTGTCTGCAAAAGACCACAGAAAGGCATCCTGTAAGTATTCATGATGCCACGGCACGCAAGCAGACACACACGAGAAAACGTAGCACTAGAAAAGGCGTCCACTGCCGGGGTCCCTTCCCTGACCGTAGATGAAACCGTGATGGGAACATTTGCTTTCGTGGAAAATGGATCCTTTTGGAAGGCGGTTTCGCTCCCTGCCCTGACTCTGACATCGTGTTGCTGTTGAACTTGGCAGCCAGCGTATGTTTCTCTGTGCTCTGAAGGCTGGTCATGGTGGTATTCAAGCCCGTGTCCCTTTGTGTGTTTTCCAGCCACCAGCGGACCTTCGTTCTTGAGGTCATGGGGAGACACTGTGGGTATGTATTTGCTGACACATATCAGAATTAAAGTGATGCTCGCCATCAGCCCCTTCTGAGTCCCCTCCTCTTCCAAATTGTGCATGTTCTCACAGCGAATTCAGGGAGGAGCCAGTGTAGGAACCCAAGTGTTCTGGTGCAGAAGCCCAGGCTACTTTTTGCCAGACTCGGTTGTTGAGCTTTTAATAGGAACTCTATAAGAAGCTGGCACCTCGATTTATTGATGTTTCGTGTTACTTCCAAATAGCTACTTAGCCCTGGTTAGTGCTTTGGCCTGCGGCGCGGACTGGGTGTTTCTTCCTGAATCTCCCCCAGAAGAAGACTGGGAAGAAAATATTTGCGTTAAGCTATCAGAGGTAATTCATGTTGTATTTCTACCTATTCATTACAAAGTGTTCTAGTCAGATTGCCTTAATCATGATTTCCATTGGCTTAAAATTTTTTTTCAATTTGGAAGATTTTAAACAAGTGAAGACTTTCTAATTTGAAAATTAATTCTAGCTTGTTTCACATAATCTTTATAGATGGACTAGACTGTTCAGGAGTTTGTCTACTTTCTAATGTTACAAAATATCACACATAATAGAAACCATTAAAGCCGTGAGTGTGGTGTGTGTGTGTGTGTGTGTGTGTGTGTGTGTCCACGTATTTATAGTCTTAGCTACAAATCTTGGATTTTGGAATTTAAACTGTGGTACTAGAAATGACCAGGAAAAAGGAAATGGTGCTGTTTACCCCTTTAAATGTTGGCAGCCTTGGGGCTGATGATTTGTACAAACTTATATGTGAAAGATTGGCGGTTCGAATCCAGCCAGCAGCTCATAGGAACTGATGATCTGCTCCAATAAAAGACGACAGCCTAAGAAACCCAACAGTTCTGCTCGCTAACCTGGGTCACTGTGTGTAGAACCTTGACTGGCCGCACCTAACAACAATATATGAAAATACTTGCATCTGTAAGATGATTATCATTCTACTTGTGTTGACCACTCATGTAACACTGCAAGAAGTTTTAAAAACTTACCATGCTAGATAAATTGGCTTGGAATCAAGGCCCCAGAACATCTACAAAAGAGTGTGATTTGGGGAGGTGCCGCTTCGTGATGGCCGACTGATCGCCCCTGGATAAATCCCTCTCCAACAATCAGGGGGAAAATAGCAAGGAAGGGGGCAGAAGCCCAAAACAAAAAACCAGGCGCAAGCAATCTTGGAGACCAACTCTATATTGATGGGTGGGGCCAGAAGAGAAGCGGAGGTGGTAATTGCGCCCCTGAGACATAGAACCCTTCCTCCTGGGCCCACCCTGCTGAACTCACCCACCCAGCCCCAAGACTGCCTGCACAGCCTGCTTGCCCCTGGCTAGCCGTATACCACAGGCTCGGATGGCCTCGTGATGACTTCGCTTCCTGGCCACTGCACATCCTGCACCTCCTGGCCCCCAGCTGGACTGCACCCCACACCTCCTAGCCTGTGGGGGGCTGCCCCCTCTGCCAGCATTACATTCAACACTGCATTCAGTCCGCCCCAGGGAGTCCGGCTTCTCTTCTCTAATGGCCTTGCCTTGCCCCTTCCCATGCTGGCTAATCCTGCTGGACCCCTTCTCCTCCTGGAGGGCGCCTCGCCTGGAGCCAGTCATCTGGCTTGACCTGTTTGCCTCCGAGATAGCCTACACACACCCACCCCTCTGCCCCAGGCTGTCCAGGAAGCTAGCTTCACCTCCTAAGGAGTGTTCTGCGCCCTCACCCCGGGCCATCGCCCTCGCTCTTCACCCTTCTCCCTCGGCCTCTTCTCCTTCCAGACAATGCAGGCCACCCTATAGGACCTCTTTACCTCCATAACGGAATGCATTCCACTCCCTCTGCCCTCCAGGGCACCCTGTGCCTTCCCCCAGGCCCTCATCCTACCAAAGACCCACTAGGTGGGGCCTTGCGGACCTTAGGCACTGCCTGCAACTGCTCAGCTGGTCCTCGCCCTGTGCACTGCCAGCCCCACTCTGCACCCACCCTGGCACACAGCAGCACGTCTTTCTTTCGCCCACACCAGTTACAACGCTCCTGGGCAGCCTGAGATCCCCACCAACGGCAGCGGCTTTTCCTTTTGTTCCTGCCTTTAGAAAAAGTACATCCTAATTCCTTTTTAATGAGGAACTCTTTCTTGCGTTCTTTTAAAAATTACTTTGCTATTTTTACATTTTTAATGGGTACTTTTTTCTCTTTCTTTGATTTCTTTTTCTTCTGTTCTTTCTTTCCCCTGTTCCCTTTTCTTTCCTTGTTCCAGAGTTTCTGTTATTCCTCTCCTGCACTGAGTCAACTACTCGCTGCCACTCCTAACAGTTAAAGCAATGTGTTGAAGAAAGAGCCGAGAATATCAGTGCACACCTACTGTGTTAGTCTGGGTTGACTAGAGAAACAAATTCTGAGACACTCATATGTGTATAAGAAAGAGCTTTATATCGACTCACTCAATCTCTCACTTACTCTCTCACTCACTCACTCTCATTCACT